AACTCCAAAAAGAAGCAACCAAAGACTCCACACCGAAAACAAAAACAACAAACACCTGTCAAAAAAATCATTCCCACCACAACCACAACAACGCACACCGCCCTGATACCAGCACTCTGGGAGACACACATCTTCCCCCACTCCCCCCTTCGGGGGGGGGGGGGGGGGCACAACCCTCGGCCCGGACACGGCCAAGACCCTGGTACGGCACGTTGTGTGCAAGGGCCGGTGTGTTTCATTGTGTGCGTGCGCGTGTGGGTGGGGTGTGTGTTTTTGTGTGGTGCGCGTGCGCGTGGGTGAGGTGTGTGTGTGTGTGTGTGTGTGTGTGTGTGTGTGTGTGTGTGTGTGTGTGTGTGTGTGTGTGTGTGTGTGTGTGTGTGTGTGTGTGTGTGTGTGTGTGTGTGTGTGTGTGTGTGTGTGTGTGTGTGTGTGTGTGTGTGTGTGCGTGTGTGTGTGTGTGTGTGTGTGTGTGTGTGTGTGTGTGTGTGTGTGTCGCGCGCGTGTTGTTTCTCTCCACCTTGAGCTTATCGCGGGTGATCTTGCGGCGGCGGTCGTGCAGCTTGCAGTAGGCGGCGCCGGCGACGAGGTGGTACGGCGCGCCTATGCAATCGTTTGTTGGTAGTTGTAATGAATAACGAGTGGACCGCGCCGGCGACGAGGTGGTATAGGCGTTCCCGCGGCGAGGGAGACGCCGCACTCTGCGCACTTGAAGCACGCGGAGTGGTAGCTCTTGTCACCTGCGAGATTGCGCCGAGGTTGCGCCGAGGTTGCGCCGAGGTTGCGCCGAGGTTGCGCCGAGCAAGTTGCGGCGAGGTTGCGCCGAGATTGTGCCGAGCAGGTTAGCGCCGAGATTGCGCCGAGATTGCGCCGAGATTGCGCCGAGATTGCGCCGAGGTTGCGCCGAGATTGCGCCGAGGTTGCGCCGAGGTTGCGCCGAGATTGCGCCGAAATTGCGCCGAGGTTGCGCCGAGATTGCGCCGAGATTGCGCCGAAATTGCGCCGAGGTTGCGCCGAGGTTGCGCCGAGGTTGCGCCGAGATTGAGCCGCGAGATTGGGCCGAGATTGCGGAGTGGTATAGAGCTCTCTTGTCACCGGCGACGACGAAGCCCGGGTCGGCGCGGCCGTCGATCAGCCGGCCGCACCCGGCGCAGAGGACGCCGTAGTCCTTGAGGTGGCAAGCGGTGTGCAGCGGCTTGCCTGCGCTTCAAGTCAGCACATCGGTTTGAACGAATGAATGGTCGTCCTAGTTTGAGGTGTGCAGCGGCTTGCCTGCGCTTCAAGTCAGCATCGGTTTGAACGAATGGACCCGGTCGTCCACTTGACGTGGCCAGCGCGGTGAGTGTGTGCAGCGTGCCGTGAAGCATCGCAAAATCGCCGTCGATGGGCTTGCCTGTCTGGACAGGAGTGCTGGAGGGTCCATGTCTTGCTTTTGGGTAGTACGCCGCCGTCCATGCTTGGGCGTGCCGCAAGCGGCGCACACGAAACAGTCGCTGTGCCACATCTTGCCCGCCGCCTAGTCGCGTGGGGCGTGGGTGGAGAGGGGGCAGGTCTTGGAGGCAATGACTGGTGCCTGCTGCTACTTGCCCGTCGATCCCGCTCGCGGTGGAGGCTTATTAGCTACGATTATTAGCCAAGCCCGAGCTAAAACGCGAATCAGCCGGAGGCTAATAACAATTATTAGGTAGGCGTCGATGATTTAATAGGCTAATAGTTTGGAGAGTGCGCCGCCTCGACGGCCTCGCCGCCGGCCGCGCCGAAGAGTAGCTCGCCTAGTACCAGTACCGTACCTCCATGGTACCGAATCCAGTGTGTGGGTTCAGGTTCCGCGGGCGGTGTGGTAGCGGGGCAGACGTGCTGAATACGCCGACATCAGAGGGCGGGGGACGACAGGGCATTGTGCAGCGTATACTCAGAGCACCGCGTGAGTACAACGGATAGGAAGACAGTGAATACAGCGGAGTACAGCTGAGTACAGCGGAATGCGCGTCTCTCGAGTGCTGGTTGGGAGACACATGAATTGTACGTATTCCGCTTCTAGTAGCTCGCCGCACCCAGCGCACGTCCTCGTGTTGTTGCTCGCCTAGTGTGAGTAGTAGGCAACCGCAATTCCAAGGTCTACTACCTTGTCTATCATACCAGCGACTGGCGACAGGTGGAGACGACGCGTGGGGCTTCACCCCACACACACCCGGACAGGGGCTGGGGGTTCACGCCGTCGATCTCGCCTTGGGAGCGTCGCCGCCCGCACTCTTGCCGCCTCCCGCCTTGGCCGCCCTCGCCTGGGCGCGCATCGCCTCGGCCTCCGCCTGAGAGTTCTCAGCCGCTGCGGTGTGTAGAGAGGGGTGGGAGGGGGAAGGGGGGCGGGGGGGAGATACAGCCCGACAGAGAGACAGACAGAGACAGAGATGGGGGAGAGGGAGAGAGGGGGGTGTTTGCGATGAGATATTAGATGAGATCAGCCTACGCCTGGAGCTCCGCCTCGACAGAGGGGCTCGAGGCAGCGGGCTTCGCCCCCTGCCCGCTCAGCACGCCCGCCCCGTCCAGCTTCTCCTTTGAGTAGCCCGCCGCCCGCAGCTCGGCGGCCGTGAACTCTTGCGCGGAGACCGTCAGCTCGGCCGGCGACGACTCGCCGCACGAGCCGAACGACTTGGCGGGGCGCTCGGCGGTCACGGCGTCGTCGCCGACTCGGAGCGCCGCCATCTTCGCCTCCGCCTCCTCTGCGTGCGCCGCCGCCTTGTCCAGCTCGCGGGAGGTGTGCCACAGCTTGCCCGTCTCCGTCGGCGGCGGCGACGGCGGCGGCGACGGCGGCGGAGTAGCGCCGAGAGAGAGATGAAGGGGGCGGGGGTCCAAGGGGCCTTCGGGCGGCGCCGGGTCCAGGGGTGGCGGCGCGGCTAGCTCGTAGTGCAGGTTGCCGCTGGAGGCGGGCTTGGCCTGCCAGGCCACGGATGCCGAGAGATTCCCCCCGCCCACTGCCAGGCCCGCCGCGCGAGCCACTTCATTGTGGAGTTCCAGCTCGCGGTCGCTCCGGCTGGCACGGCCGCTCTCGCCCGGCACTTTCGCCGTTTCCTTCGGCTTGACCTTGGAGGAGCGGACGCCCATGCCACAGGGAAGCGGATTCAACACGCCGAGAAAAAAATACGCGGCTTTCGCGCCACCGGCGAGGTGTTGACGTTCTCGAGGTGGATATCCTTTGGCCGCGTTGGGTAGCGAGGATTGGTGTAACCCGAGCCACGGAGGCGTGTTTTCTGGCGGCCGACCGTCAGTGCACGGAGTTGCCACTTCTCCGACTGCCCCGGCTAGTTCACGAGTTTCGCGGGAGTGACCCCATGCGTCAAACCCGAGACCTAGCGCGGGTGGGTTGGAGGGGGGCTCGCTGCAGGGAAGGGCTGTGTAAGAAGCCGATCCCCGTAGTCCGCCCCGCTCCTCCCCATCGGGCCGCATGAGCGGCCACGCCTCGCAGATTCGTTTTCGCGCCTGGGTCAGGCGCGCGGGGCATCCCCCGGGTCGCTCGACCAGCGATCCGAAGAGTGGCCGCTATGCGAGGGAAAGAGCGGGGCCCACGGGGACGCCTCCGTCCGGCCC